TGGCCTGGGGACTGTGCTCAGGTCCTGCTGCGGTGGCAGCCTTTGTGCTGGTGAGGCTCCTCCAGGGGTCGTGGTCGTCCCTCTGCTGCCGCCGGCTGCCCGGCACTGGCCAGCCCGGCATCGCACGTCTCCTGGGTCCCGGCACACGCGTGACGCCCAGGACGGGGTGCGGGGCTGTGGGCACGCCCACCCGCCGAGCTCCTGTGGTCCCTCAGCCTCAGCCCGTGCCGGCCTGCCGTCTGCCTTCCTCTGGCAGCGGTGCAAATCTGCTGACCGTCGGGGTCCCCCCTTGGGACAGCCCTGTTCGGGGGCTGGGTCCCGGTGGGGCTGTACGTCCCAGGTGTCTGCCTTTGGGTCTGTGTGTCACACTTCTCCCAGCTTGTGCCTTATCTGCTCACTCACTTTACGAACGGAGCTTCTGAATTTGAGTGTACTGGAATTTATCCATCTTTTTGTGTCTGAATAGTGCCTTTTGCGCTTTGCTTAAGAAATCCTTCCCAGAGGTCATGGTGCTGTTTCCTAGATCATCTCCTAAAAACTTGATCATTTTTTTGTTCACATTTATGTCTTTAACCTTCCTGGAATTGGTTTTTGGAGATGATCCAAAAATAGGGGTTCAGTTTAATTTTTCCACGTGAACACAACACCCTGTTACTTTCACACTACTCATTCAGGAGTCCCTTCTCTCCCCTGACCCACCGTGTGACCAGGCACGCGTGACGTGCGGTTCCTCGGGGGCTTCTCTTCGGCACCATGGTCTCGGTCCCTGTGAGCCCACACTGCCCTCTCTTCGTCACTCTGCTGCGTGATGATTCTCGGCATCCACCTCCTGCTGTCGGAAACATCCTGCTTTCCCGCTCTTTGCACTTCCGTTATCGATTTTGAGTCAGCTTATTTAGTATACACACCGTGGTCAAAACTGAGGGGGTTTTTGTTAGAACTGCATTGACTCTGTAGATCAGTTTGGGGGAGAGTGGACATCGCTATAGCCTTGACTTCAGATTCACCAACATGATACATCATTTTCTGTTTAAATCTTCTTTAATGCCCTTTAAGTAAGTTTTCTGATTTTTTTCCCATAAAGATCTTACTGCGTGTATTAGATTTATTCCTAAGTGACGGGCATTTTCTGGTACTCTGCTCTAAGTTCCCTCTTTTTGTCTGTGTCTCTAGGACACTGTATGTTGACTTTTGAATCCCACAGCCTCAATCTGTTCTAGTTGGTTTGCGTTTCCCTTGTGTCGGTCACATCACCTGTGAGTCCTGGTGGCCGGCATCTTCCCCTTCGTCCTTCTCTTTCTTATTCCCGCCTCGTCGTGCTGGCGATGCCCACAAGGCAGTGTGACAGGTGCAGACAGGAAGTTCGGCCACATGGCTCTCCTCATGGTCGTTCTGCGGGTTGGGTTTTTAAAATCACCCTTCAGCACAGTAAGAAAAGTCTCTTCTTTATCTAGATTGCTACAACTTTTTGTTCCTTTGGTTGTGGTGTTTTGTCTTTTTAAAAACCCTCTGTCTGCACCCCTCCCCTCGTGGTCCCTCCAGTCTCGAGGCTTTGAGCCCATCTCTGTGCCCATGAGTCCAGATTCGCATCTGCAGCCAGCTCTCATCCCGCCCAGGGTTTTAATCCTGGCTGCCTTTGGACGGCCCCCTGGAGGTGTGTGCCTCTGGTACCTGAGCCCCTCCTCCTCCAGCTCTGGGACAGCAGTTCTGTCTTCCCTGACCTCAGCCTTTCCTGGGCCAAACCCTCCGCTGCACTTCACGCTCCAGACCCGGCCCAGCACGGACCCTGCGGTGAAGTGCACTGAGACGTGCTTTGTGGCGGCGTGGGGTCCCTTTGTCACCTCCAGGTCAGGTTTATCTGGGGTGTTGTGCCTACTAGTTGGCTTCTTGTGTCAGTTATGAGAGGGGTGAGTTAAAATCTCCCATTCTGGGACTCCCCTGGCACTCCAGTGGTTGGGACTCTGCGCTTCCACTGCAGGGGCGCGGCTTCCATCCCTGGTCGGGGAACTGAGGATGCCACATGCCGCCTGGCACAGCCCAAAAAAATAGAGGAAAAAAAACCCTCTCATTTCTGGTTATGGGTTTATCTGTTTTTCCTTATATTCCTTTCTATTTTTGCTCTTTATATTAGGTGCTCTGTTATTAGTTGCGCATAAATTAAAATTCTAAATTTTATTATTTTGAAATATTGCTTTGGTGCGGCAGCCTGTTGTGCCTCATGCCGAGAACTCTACCCACGTGCCACAGAGACAGTCGCTGGACGCCGCCTCGCTGTCATTGGCCCGCGTCTCAGTTTTGGTCCTTCACCTGTGACACGTTCACTCCCTTTATGGTGAGGCCTGGGAGGAAGGGCTTTTAGCTCCATTTTGTTTGGGTTTTCAGCTTGTTCTGTTTTCTCTTTCCAGCCTTACTTGCCTTCTCTTCTTCCATTTATGTATTTATTTTTTGTCATTCTGGGTTTTTTTCCTCCTCTGACTCGTTTGAAAATTACATGTTTTCTTTCTGTTCTCTAAGTGGTTATCCTATAATCCCCATGTGCAGATTTACCTTGTCAAAGTATAGCACAAACCACCGTCTCTGCTCTGCTCTCGAGCACTGGTCTGTCAACACCGTTGCTCCCTGGCCCTCTCAACTCACATGCCGCTGCAGTCACGCAGTTTCCTTCTATCCTGTTTCATTTTTACTTTTCATGTAAAATTACTTTTCTTCTGCTTGAAGTACACCCTTTGGAGTTTCCCATAGTGTTTGAAAATGCCTATATTTCACTCTTGTTCCTGAAGGATGCTTCTGCTTTGTTTGGAATTCTAGATGGACATTTATTTTCTCAGCACATTAACAGTACTCCCTGGCTCCTGGTCTTTTGTTGTTGAGGAGAAGTCAGATGTCTGTCCAGCGGGTCGCTGCTTCGATGGTAACCTGTCTTTTTTCCCCTCTGTTTCCTTTTGAGATCTTTTCTTTGTCTTTGGCGTTTTATAAATGCTGTGATGATCTAGCTTGGAATTTGTTGATTGTCTGGAACCTGGGCATTGATCTCTCTTGTCAGTTTAGGAAATGACCAGCCGCTGTTTCTTTAGATGCCGCCTCTGCCCCATTTCCTGCCCTCCGTGTCTCTTCAGTCTCTCAGTCTCTGTGCTTTCCTTTCATTGTCTCTCTGTGCTGCATTCTGAGTAATGTCCTCTAACCTGTCTCCCATTTCACTGAGCTTTCTTTTCATTAGGTCTAATCTGCTGTTAAGCTTGTCCATTGAATTTTAATTTTGGTGATTATAAGTATTTTATTCTTCGAAGTTCTGTTTTTGTCTCAAATCTGCTTGGTCTTTGTAGTCTCTTGTTCCCATACGTGTTTTCAGGCTGCACAGGACAGCACACTGTTTTGTGCGTGCCTGATAATTCCTCTATTTGAAGTCCGTGTGCGTCTGATTTTACTTGTTTCTGCTGTTCTTGCTTCAGGAACTGTGGGGGTTTTGTCATTATAGGAGTTGTCTTCTTGTGAGCCAGTTTCCCTTGAAGTTCTGTTTGTGGGAAGGCTTTGAGGTCTGGGTTGAAGGTGGGTTCTTCCTTGTGCTGGGCTCCCATGGGTGCCGTCAGGACCACATCAGCTGTGGCTTGAGGGTTTGGTCTGCCAGCCTGTGTCTCCCCCTCCCCTGCCTAGCACCGAGGCCTAAGGCAGGCGGCCTCCTCACAGACCCTTTGAGTGCCAGGATCGCAGCTGCGGGGGCATCGGGCAGCCCTCTTGTTAGCTCCTCCTGAGAGTGGGTTGGGACTTGGTCTCTTTGCTGCACCCGGGAGGCCATGAAAACCCAGTGCAAGGCTTCCCCTGCAGCATGTGGTCTCAGGCATGAGCTGCCGTAGCACCTTCTCGTGGCTCGGGGTCCCCCATTTGCTTAAGTTTTGGCACTGGGAGCTCTGGACTTCCTTCAAGTTGATCGATGCGTTTTAAGCCATCACCTTGGTGTTATGCGTGGCATCTCAGCATTTTCGTGGCTGCCGATCTGAGCTGTGGCCCATGTGCTGCGGTAGCTGACCGAACGTCTCTCCCGTCAGAGGAAGTGCACAGGCTCACTCAGAGGTTCCCTTGATGTCAGTGAGTGCGGTTCACAGTTTTTGATTCAAGTTACAGTAGACTAGTAAATGCCTTCTGATTCATTTTAATTTCCATGAGAACTCATATTTACTTGGGAGCTTGTCATTTGTAAGTACATCACATAATTTCACGTTTCCTCCAGGATTATCTTGGGCAAGACTTATTTTCATCCCTGTTCCGCCAGTTAGAGACCTGAGGGGGCTTTCCATGGCCCCCAGCAGCTACCCACTCGGGAGCCCCTTCTGCTTCTGTGAACCGGTGTCCCCGAAGCCCTGCGTAGACACAAGTGGCCTGAATCATCTTATTACAGCAGGACAGCAAGATAGGCAGGTTTACAAAAAGTGACCATCGGGTGGAAGGTTGTGTTTTGTAAAGAGGAAGATCTCAGTCATGATGAAGAAGAAATGTAGAAAAATGGTGAAATAACCACGTTAGAGTTTGGGCGTCGCTGTCTCTGGACTAGGGCTGAACCTTGGTGTTGGTCCAGGTCCCCTGACAACGGGGGCATACGTGGAGTGGCGCCCAGGCACTCTGTCTTCCATGTAACTCTCTCATATAGACTTGTAGCGATTTTTATAAAAGAAAAATGTGACTGTCTGAAATATGAGCCTGATAATAAGCTTCAAATTACACGTGATTACAGACTAGGAAGGCAGTCGTTACTCAGTGCAAAGGTGAAATAACTGGTTCTCTCGGGGTTCCAGGTGAGCACACTTTTGAGAACTGCTACTTTGTGTCGTCTGACCACCGTCTTTTTTTTTTTTGCATTAAGAACTGAGAAGGAAAGAGGGCAAGAAATCTCTTTTGCGCACACGTTCATTTGGCGTCTCCATTTGGCTTTTTTGTTTTTGTCCAAGGTTGCGAAACTCCCTCAAGTCGTCCAGCAGCAGACACCCGTGGCCAGCATCCAGCAGGTTGCCTCTGCTTCCCAACAGGTAGGACCTGGAGACCCGCAGCTGTCGGGCGTTCCCACGAAGAGAGTTCTTGCTTTTCATCCGAGGAAATAGAATTTTAATTCCTAGAGAACCGCTTGTGGTTTTCATAATACAGAAAAGAAAATTAACTTTGGGGAAAACACTTGATATCCTGAGACTAGCAGGAAAAAAACCCTGAACAAATGTGTTTGGACTCAGTGTCACATGTGCTGAGGGGGCTCATTTCTGGGCTCCTTCGTTCAGCCAGTAAACCTTAGGTGCATCCTGCCAGCTGAAGCCACCACACCTTCGTTTTAGGGAAGCGAAGAAAGAAAAGAGACTCCGTTCATGTGGACCTTGGGTCTTACAGCAGAAGTACTCCTGGGGACAGCCAGGCCTCATCCTCCCAGCAGAGCCTGGCTCTCGGTGCTCACCTTTGTTTTACTGCTAAAAACGTGGCTGCATAAAAGCAGTGCTTTAAAATAATTGTAGTCTGTTCGGAATCACACTGGCATGTAGATTTCAAGAAACCAGATAGTATTAGAAGCCGAACACCAGCAGCACCAGTCCCCGGTCATCCTTTCCCCAGAGGCGTCCACTTGTAGCCTAAAAGCAGCAATCATTTCGTCTTCTATTTTTGTTTGGTTAGAAACCAGAGGTCCTGTTTTTTTTTTTTTTTTTTGCGTTACGCGGGCCTCTCACTGCTGTGGCCTCTCCCGTTGCGGGGCACAGGCTCCGGACGCGCAGGCTCAGAGGCCATGGCTCACGGGCCCAGGCGCTCCGCAGCATGTGGGATCCTCCCGGACCGGGGCACGAACCCGTGTCCCCTGCATCGGCAGGCGGACTCTCAACCGCTGCGCCACTGGGGAAGCCCCCAGAGGTCCTGTTTTGATAGGTCAGGTAGTTTTTACATTGCACGGAGGAAGCATTCGCGCTAGTTAACGTTTCTAACCCCCACCCCCAAGGACGTCTAATTTTTCATGTCACCTGATCTGCGTTTTCTAGGAGATGTGTTTCTGTTTTGGTTCAGGCTTCCCCACAGACTGTGACCCTCACCCAGGCGACAGCAGCCGGGCAGCAGGTCCAGGTGATCCCCGCAGTGACAGCGACAGCACAGGTGGTCCAGCAGAAGCTCATGCAGCAGCAAGTCGTGACCACGGCGGCGGCCCAGCTGCAGACCCCCGGTGTTCCCAACCCAGCCCAGGTGCCGGCCAGCTCCGACAGCCCGAACCAGCAGCCCAAGCTCCAGATGAGAGTCCCCGCCGTCAGGTTAAAGACGCCCACCAAGCCTCCGTGCCCCTAGTCGGGACAGCGGCGCGGCCCCAGGCGGGCCGCCCGTGCCTTCCACCGCCCTGCCCAGATGGGGTGGACTTATTTACCGAGCCCCAGGACAGTGCCCTGCAGGGCGTCCAGCGCCTGGAGCGGCGACCCTCAGCGAGCGCCCCCGTCACGTGTTATGTGGCTGACTGAAAAAGCGGCAGTGGCAATGTTTCCTCGATGCTTTACCTTTTAGTTTCTCCTCCAGAGCAGTACTGCTGGGTCTTGAAAGCCATTTAGAATTTCTCTGTTAGTGTACAGTGTTTTTTGCACATCACAAGTAGCCATTTGGAAGGTGCAGTGAGTCATAAAGTAGACCTTATGAAGCTAAAATGTGGTCTGACAGCATCTGTCTCTGCCTGGTTCTTTATTCCTAACTGAAAACACGTTATGGTCCTTCAAGAGGAGAAAGACTGTCTAATATCAAAGGTAGGTCATCTCAGATCAGGGAAAACCAATGTGGTTTCTTCCCTCCCTCCTAAAATGTGACTTGTTTGGACTCTTAAAGGAGACATTTAGTACTGACGTGCATTGAAGCACATTCATGACGCGTTCCCAGCTTGTGTTGAAGGGGAATGATCTGTGACTGCATTTTCATCGCATAGAGCATCGTGCGCAGCTTCCCTCAGAGTGACCGCTTTCTGCGTTCGCGGAACCCTCGGGGCTGCTCCCTACCCCAGCATGTCCACAATATTTTCCCAGGTTTCGGATAAACTTGTAATGGGACTTAGGCTACTGAAGCAGCACCAGCAAACCTTGTGAGGCTCCTGTCTGGGAATGGTTCGGGGCCCAGAGTGCTGTGCAAGTGTTGTCACGTTGCAGATGGCACTGCTGAGTGCTCGGTGAGGCGAGACTCTTGGTAAGGGGGCGGCCTGCCATCGCCCCTTTGCTTTCGTGCCCAGCCCAGGCGTGACGTGCAGAGGTGAGAAGCCTCCTTGTGCAGGTGCTGTGTGTATGCACCTACAAGTAATTACCCACAGAAATGGGTGTGGTAAACTCTTCATACTACACTGCCATGTCTCGTATGTGAGCAGATCGCCCACTTGGGGTGCTGCGTAAAGCAGAGAGCCGTCCAGGCTCTTTGGGGTGGGGGGCCCGTGGTTGAGGGGCAAAGAGGAGGCCCTGGATTTGCTGTTTTTATTTTTTTACTGTGGCAACTGCAAAGGGCTTGGTTGGCTGACGACGTCTGCTTACCTGGAAGTGTCCACCCAAGCAAAAGGCGCGTGTCTGATGACACCCTCTCTGCTCCGTCTCTGTGCCTCTTTTACAGTTTTGGTCCAGGAAATCAGCTTGTGTTAGGTCTGTATGTACTTAGGAACAGTTCCGGCATACTGATTTTAAATTTTTAATCAGTCTGTTTCTTCCCCCTTTATATCACTTTATATGACACAAAGGAAAGTGTCCTGTCCCGAATTTTTTTGTTTCCCATCAGTATATGTGGACAATAATATGGCGATTGATACCTTAGTGAAGCCAACCGGGCAGCTCATTTTTGAGTTCTTGGTGAGAAATTTGGAAAAAAAGTAAAGACCAGTTGTTCAAAGTGGACAGGATAATGTTCTAGTTAGTTGAACATATCAAAACAGAACACTATAATTTGCCTTCTAACTTGTTCGTTGTGGGTTCAGCATGTGCTGTAATGAGAGAGTACGGCATGCAGGAGGCTTTCTGTGCTTCGTATCTGGATTCTGAGGAGAGTTCCTACTTTTTTTTTTTAATCCTCAAATGTGCAGAACTAAAAAGGAATTCTCCTTTTCAGCTTATTTTAACTTGTGAAGCCTGTTGGTTTTGTTCTTACCCTTCTTGGGGGTGTTGGCGGTCTCTTTGTAGATGATGGTGAAGTGTTGAGTGTTTAGAATATCCTAGACATAGCTGCCTGAGTAGAAGTCCTCTATTAATCTAGAACACTAGAAGAGAATTTAGAAAAATCCCTCAAAAGCCTTCTAAGAGAACAGAACTAGGGTCTGAATATTTGCAGTGTGGGACTCCTGCCCTGTCTTACTATGTGAGTGAAAGAAGTGTGTCTTCTTCAGCGATTCCCTGTTGCAAAATATGGGACAGAAAATAGCGTTGCTGGTATCAGTCGATTTAGTAACATCTAGATGTCAGCACTCACCTCCTAGTCTTCCACAGTCATTTAGGTAAAGGGTCCGGTGTATTGTTTTCTTCTTTTTCTGTTTTAAAGGTTAAACTTTCCATATTTAAGAATAAGTGTGAGTTTAGGACGATGTTTTCCAGGCTTCCTCAGATTGTTACTGTTGTCAGAATCCCACATTACCTTGTAGAACAGGGTTCCCACCCAATGCATGGTAAGGATTGAGAGAAATCTTCAGAACATAAAATATGAAGACAGCAGGCAAAAACACCATCAAACTGGAATTGGCCACCATGGAAAAAGCAGTCACCCAGTTTTTCTTTGAAATTCAGAGACATTTGTTCCAGGGAGGCTGGGTGGTGGCTGGAGGATCGGGGGCGGGGGAAGTAGGAGGCTGGAGTGAGCCTCCTGAGGCAGAGGCTTTCCTTTTTGCCACCTTCAGGGCTTTTTGTTAACTGTTGTAACCAGATAGCTGTTGTGTTTTAAAATATAAAGGAAGAAGACCGAAATTGTAAATACTTTGTAAACAATCATTTGTACTTGAATAGTAGGGTTTTAAAGGGCACTGATATCCCACCAAACAAAACGTATAATAAATTGACCTTTTTATATGCTTTTTTGTTTTGTCTTTCATAGAAAGCTACTGTTCAGGTTAAAATAAGATACCAGTCATATTCATTTCACTTGTGTGAAGAGAAAACGAAGACACAGGGAAACCAAGTTAGTGTTGCGAACGGAGGTTTTCTCCTCGCTCCTCCCCCAGTCGGTAGCCGGAACTAGAAGGGATGGAGTTTCTCAGTGAAATCACCATTTCTCTCCGCAGAGACCATGTCCGCCTGGCCACTGTGTTCCAAAGCCGCACGAGGAGGAAGGACCCGGTGCGTTTATTTTTCTTCGTAATGTTCTTGTTCTCCAGTACTGCCTTGTGCTAGACAGCAGCACTTCCTCAGCTGCTCTGTGCTTCTGTCCCTGTGCAGTGAGTATTTACTGAAGCATATTACATGCCAACTTTATCACTAATGGTGGAAGTCTTTTTTATAAAAAGCAACACTTAGCTCTTCAAGAAAATCAAAACTAATGAGCGACAGATGGGTGAATTATTGGTTTATTCAGCTGATGCTTACTGAGTGCATACTGTGTGTCTAGGCCCTGGAGCTGTAGCTATGAGCAAAGTAGAAAAGGAGGTTACGTTGTAGTAGTCCAGACAGATGATAAAATGATTGAGAACGGTGTAAGCACCATGAAGAAACAGGGACGAGGTCACGGCCAGCAGTCTGGACTTCACGCTAAGCAGAAGCCTGGAAGACAGCTTGACTTACAAGTTTGAAAGCTCACTGTGTCTGCAGGGGAGGTGGTGGTTGAAGGTAGCCAGAGTGAAACCAGGGACAGACCCGCTGGACCGTCTCCCTGGTCACAAACGAGGGAAAAAAACCATCCTTGTGGGTCTTCAGATCCCAGCTCAACAGCCTTAAGAGGCATTTTGTGACTGCCGCCCCCTAACTTAAAATGGGCACTCACTCAACCTCCACCTCCTTTTCTCAGCCGCTCTAACCGGGCATCCGTTTGCCGATGTGTGCCCCCTTCTCCCTAGACCGCAGGTCCTGCCAGGGCAAGGACAGGACGTGCTTGGTCAACGCAACAGGCAGTTAAGTGTGCGATGAAGCGGTGGGTTGGCAGGGGAGGAGCGGACGGACCGGTGGACCGGAGGCTGCAGGCGAACGGTAGGAACGAACGGAGGCTGGCGCGCACGTGACCGCGGGCGAAGGAAGCCGCGGGAGTGCGCAGGCGCGGGCCGGGGGCCTCGCGTGCAGGTCCGGCCTCAGCCGCCGCTGCTTCCGGTCCTCCCGCCCTCGCCCCGCCTGCGCGCGCCGATCGGCCGGCGCCGCGCCTGCGCCCTGGGTCCAGGCCGGCCTGCGGCTTGCGTCGGGTCGGGTGGCCCGGGCCCGCCCTCGGCTGCCGCCGCTCTTGTCCCCACCGGCACCCTCCACCGCGTCCCCCGGCCGCCGCGGTGAGGGCCCGCAGCCTGTCCGCGCCGGGGTGGGGGCGGGCGCTCGGGGCCTCGCGGCTCTCTTTCGGCCTCCCCGTCCGCCCGTTGCCCCAGCGTTCCCCCGGTCCACCTCCCCGTCAACGACCCTGTGACCCTCGCCGCTGACCCCCGCCCCGCCGGCCCCGGGAGGCCGCTGTCCGCGGTGCTGACGCCGCCGGCGCGCGTGTCTGGAGGGGCCGCTGGTCGGGGTGTCCCCGCCCCACACCCGGGAGGCAGAGTGGAGTCCGGGCTGCGGCTTCTCCTCGGCCGGCCCCGCCGGGGCGTCTGTCGGGAGAGGCGCCTCGCCACCCCTGCCCCCGGAGGCCTTTCCCACGACGGAGAGCGAGAACGGAGCTCAGCTTTGCCTTCAAGCCCGAAGACCGCGCGGCCTAGCAGACACTTCACAGCCCGGCCCCAGAGCTGAGTGAGGATCCCTTCCTCGCCGAAAACTGCTTTGGCTACGCGCAGCTCGCAGCTCGCGCGCGAAGCCCCAGCTCCCAGGTCTGTTCCCCGGCTTCACGGGGCCGGCGTCCGCCAATGACACGTGAGAACGTGGAGCACCTCTCAGCCCACGTGACTGCCTTCCTGTTGTGGTGTTGGGGCTTGATGATTACTGGGTGCTTCGTGCGTTGAGTGGGGATGCTCAGTGCCTACAGAGTGACACAGAGGTATTGCGCACGCATTTCTGTAACCTTTTGCCAAGCAGATAGACAGGATGTTCGTTTATTTATTAAAGTGGCTTCTTAATGTTCACATCAAGGTAGCAAGAGAAATACGACTTTCTCCTTTAAAGGTTGTCAGCTAAACCAGCTCCTGCAAAAGTGGAAACGAAGCCCAAAAAGGCGGCAGGAAAGAATAAATCTTA